AGGACGCAGACTGATGACAAGCTTAGCACACTGGTTCACTGGGGGTCTGAGGGTTCGAGGTCACTAGGGGTCTAGGGAGTGAGAACGCTTGATTGGTACAAGAGGTCAAACTGGGGTGCCCAGTGCAAGACCTGTCCTTATATACTAAAGTACACGGTCGCTGACTAATCGGAGAACAATAGCGAATGGGGACAAAGGAGTCACGTGGTGTTGTGACCACGTAGTACAATGGCGAAAAGAACAATAGCGATGAGAACAATGGGGATATGAAGCATGGTGTTGGAACCATGGTAGGTACGAGTGTCCGGGTTGTGCCGTAAGAAGAGGGAATGCATGGTAGAGAGGATACGAGGAGAAAGGAAAGAAGAGACGCCCCCATAGGGCGTTTGTAACACCCTTGTGCCGGCCTTTGCTCTGCCCCGTCAAGTTTTCTGATACGTCTATCCTGTCGCGGCGACTAGGCACGTAGACTCGGGTCGACGTTTGGCGACTACTCTGTGGGCAAGTGGCAAGGAGCCGAAAGGAAAAGAGAGAGATAGAGAGGGAGGCCAGCACGAGGGCACAAGACCTGTGAAAGCTAGTCTTCATGCAAATAGCAACAGACTAGTCCCAATGACCAAGTTATATGTTAGCAATCAAAGAGAGATACAACGCTATAGTCACTCACCTAGTCCAATGACCAAGAGGTCGAGATGGGGACTAGGGAGCGCCTAAGGGGTCCTTATATACTAGAGGGGCTGCTTAGCAACCAAAGGCAACGTGCAAGAGCGAGGCAGTGAAGATGATAAAGGAAGGCCAAAGGGCAAGAAGGAAAAGGCAAGGGGATGGTAATCACGGGAACGGAGCATGTGGCAGTGGCACGGCAGGCACGGGCCAAATTCTTGTGCGAAGAAAGGCGAGAGAAACTTCGGGACAGTCTTAACTTTGCCCGGAAACATGACATATATACCACATGACACAACAATTTGACTTTCTCAACGCCTTTCTAAGAATTGAACCCGAGATAAAACTACACCTTTTCCGCGCGCTCGCCCTGTCAGAGAAAATGTCCGGGAAAGGTCAGCTTTCACAGGCTGAGCGGCAGAGAACCTTTGTGAAGAGTAAGCATTAAGCCCCTTTCTCCACTCTGGCGAGTGGCACTCCAAAGTTGTTCTGTTGTATGAGAAGAAATGTATTGTATCTTTCTGTGAAAGTCATTCTATACTTGGGGGAGAAATGCAGCTGTTCAAGTTAGGACTGTCCCGGAAAATCACTTACATTTCGCAGGGTTGGATTATGCACCCTGCCTGTTGTGTGGGAACATATCTACTGTGTCCAAATTGCGATAGGATGGAAAAGGAAAGAGCCCAAAAATGGAAGGTGGGCATCAGAGGGGGAGATATGGGCAGCAAAAAGAGGCACCTGTCCAACGTCCGTGACAAGACCCACTCTATCCACAGCTATCAATGTCTACTACAGTACTATTTCGGTCTACTATAGTGCTAAAGTTGCGTTATTTGGATAAAATTCGCAAAGGTGGTTTTTACCGATGTGGTCAAATAATACAATCAATCCCATTTTGGTGGTCTGTCAGACATACGCAAGCCCTCCTGGATCACCAGCCGTTGACTGGCTGGAATCCACTGGCGCTCAAACCCCAGCTTTTCATCTAATGGAATCCAGCTTGATCAGTCCTGGTTTCTCATCTAACGGACCTCAATCGCTCGCTAGCTAGATTACAACTGGTCAGCTGACCGTCATCCACCGGCGCAGTCCTCCACCTGGATTCCGCTTATGGGATGTTTAACGGTGTACCAAACGGGGATGGTCTCAAGCACCTTCTCTCCGGGCTCCATTTATTTACCAGTGTTAGATGCCAGCCGCTGTGGAGAGTTGGCTGAGGGGGATATAGAGTACATGTGATCTGGCGCTTATGTTACAGGATTTTGTACTCTATCAGATTTCAGCTTGTCCCCCGCCTCTAGGATATCGCCCCCTCAACTCGAGACAGCGGTGAGTAGGAGCCTGGGATACTCCACCCCTGTGACAACTCGCGCAGAAATCCTCGGAAGTGCCGCCACGTGACAAAATGCCGGTGACTCGTAACTCCAACTCTTTGCCGAACAGGCCCTTGGTGTCAACGTAGCGAGTTTGCTCGCACTCACGCGTTCGTACGGCGGAGCCGGACAAACCTCACGCCAACCCCAACGACGGCCGAGGCGCACAGGGTGATACCAACAATATATTCATACAATATCCATAGCATGCTCTCATACGATACGATTCGACACGACGACTCGGGAGCGCATCATCAAAAATCCAGGAACAAATAGGCGGTCAATGTCAAGAACTGGGCTCAGCCTGTCAGAGTCGGCGATCAACGAACATATCTCATCCGCCTTCATCGACATCTACGGCCTGCCTGCGCGACTACGACAACGATGTCGCGAGCGCTGAACGCTCAAGCACCGAACCCGTAGAGGGTGCGGCCGGAGCGCTTGAGCGCGTACACGACGTCGAGCGCGGTCACGGTCTTCCTGCAACGATTGACGCGTGTGAGCAAACACGCGCAGACAGACGCGGGCGGGAAACCACAGGACACAGGGGAGCCTGTGGCTGTGGGAGAAACGAGTGATAGCAAGAGAAGGCGGGGGGACTTGCCTCTTGGCGTGCTCCGTGTAGGTGACCTGTGCGATAGCGCGAACACGTGCGTCAGCAAAGGCAAATCGTCTGAATCGAGGGCTGCGGGGGAGACGTACCGAGTCACGGATGACCTGTGAACATCGTGCGGAGCGTGAGTCATGAACGCAACTGGGGAGGACAAGGGGCAGAGAGGCAGCGTGGGTGGGGGACGCACGTTCTCGAGGAAGATCTTGAGCACACCGCGGGTCTCTTCGTAGATGAGGCCGGAGATACGCTTCACGCCGCCACGACGGGCGAGACGGCGGATGGCCTGCGGTCGTCGAGACACAGTCCCGAGTCAGCTCCCTGCTCATTGTCCTACGCGGATATGCACGATGACGACGCACGGGCTTGGTGATACCCTGGATGTTGTCACGGAGGATCTTGCGGTGACGCTTGGCGCCGCCCCTGGGGGTTCAACAACAGTCGCCAGTCAGCACCGAGTCGCAGTCGCAGCGGCGGCTCGGTGTCGCAGCCACAGACGCGACACAGCAGCGACACCGGCGTGAGGAGAGAGCTGCGCACTTTCCGAGACCCTTTCCGCCCTTTCCACGTCCAGACATGATGAGATCGAGGTTGGGTAGCGGTAAGAAGAGGAAGCGAGGTGCAGTGGCCTTCGAGTCGAAGGTGGTGGTAGCAGATGAAGAGTGGAGCGGCGCGGCGGTGCTGTTCCCTCCCGCGGTGTGATCAAGCGCCGGAGGGTGTGCTTCGGCTATTTCCTTGGCAGGTGTTTGTTTGACTGGAACGGCTGCTTTGTCTTCGACTCCTCCTTCAGTCACAACATTTCCGCTTGCATCGACTTGAGACAAGCCCGACGGACAAGGATGGCGGGGCTCTTTCCAGGCTACAAACACGTCGAGACGTTCGGACCAGACTGCGAGTACGAAGACGAGGAGGAGGTAGAGTACGTGACTCTGGACCTGGGCACGGTGGAGCCCACGCTGGTCCCGAGCTCGTCGTCGTACCGCCTAGTTGTGAGTGCCTCGCTTTCTCCTGCAGGTCCGCTGTCGTGGGCCGTGGAGTTGGGGTTGACATGCGGAGGGCGCGCGATACAGGGCTTGGACAGCGCGACGCCATTTCTGCAATTGTCGGGGACGATGCTGATGGGCGAGCACGTTTCGCTGCTGGGGACGGAACTACTGTTCGCAGAAGGTCCCACAGCGGGTACAAGTGCGGGCGTGAACTCTGGTAAGTAGAATCCCGCATCGCGCGCGGCGTGACGAGGCTGCTCAAATCGCCGCCTGCGCGAACGGTGGACAGATGATCGTGTCCAGGGCAAGAAGTCGCTGGTGCACGTGGCGAACACCGAGCGCCGCATCCGGTTCAAGGAAGTCGAGCTGAAGGCTAAGCTCGCGGGTGCGCCGGCGCCTTCGAAGGGCGAAGGGGCGGCGACACCGGCGGCCAAGACGAGCCATCTTGCGAAGAAGGTCAAGACGCAGATGGAGCATGTCATGGGCGGCAGCGCCGGCCCCTCGCGGCGAGGCCGGGGGCGCGGCGGGGGCCGGAAGCGGGGGTCCACGAAATCAAAGGCCCGCGAAGGGGAGGAGGATGCGAGCATGCGGCCCGAAGGAGACGACGGCGAGCGTCGTCGAGAAGACGTCACGGACGCTTTCGCATAGATCGTTTGGGGACGGATCGTGCGCACGGCGTGCTTCGTGATGTGATGTGCTGTGGGTGAGTGGCAAGAAAGGAACGGAGATCGTAGTCTGTTTAACTTGTTCTGCGGACAGATCTTCGTGTTGCGTTGGCAGCTGCAGACCCAGCGCGGTTCTCAACCATCGACCGTCATCCCTTCTCGTCTTCCCTGCGATCCCACCACGACCAGGCGCGGGGTATGTGTGCCTATGTCCGATCCGACAGCCGTCCGAAATCCTCTGCGCATCTGCACCCGCACCCGCAAGAGAACAGTTCGCCCTGAGCTGGTCGCCCACCGACATCGTCCCCGTCGCACCTCCCAGCCAGCTGATCCTTCATCTCCTGCACACCACCCGTCTTATCGCCGCCCGTTAATACAGACCACAACGAGGCTGGTCTCATGCCATGCCCGCCCCCAGCGTCGAGTGGATCCAGGTCGTCCATCTCCGCCCCATCGCCTGCACGCGGTTGGGTCCCCGTTGACGCCTCTACGGCACTGCTTCCGTCACCCCTTCCATCTCCCGCTTCGTTTACACGCGCGAGCAGCAGCAGCACACCCCTTGATGTACACGCCCGCTTCCTCCGCGGCGACCGCGAGTTCATTCTGGCGCTCTCGGCCCTGTCAGCCGTCTCTCGATCCCGTGCTTCGCGATCGTGGTCATTATAAAAGAGCAAGGCGGGGGCCGCTACGCTTATAGGGTTCCCCTCGTTGTCCCATCCTCTTGAAGCCATTGATTATTCCTTGCGACATGCCACCGTGGCCACATCTGCCCTCTTCCACCTCCTTCCTTCCACCCTTCCTTGCGGCCGCACACTCTCCCTCCGCCATCCGAGGGAGAGCGAACGTAAGTCGACTGCCCGTCCGATGATGTCCTGACGCGCACAGTAATCTCGTGTCGACGCAGACGTGCATTTCTGACTCGGGGAGCTAGCACCGCTCGCTGAGCGCTCTACGTGACCCGGGGTACGTGCCATAGCCGAGCCATTCCATTCGCCGCACATGAGCGCTGACCCCGTGCGTACATGTGGAATTTCAGGTTCTCAGTTCAGTAAGTCGAGCCCCTTCCGCGCTCGCCGAGCTGCTTACTGAACCGCGTCACCTAGCACACGCCGGTTCAGCGTACAGCTGACTACCTGTCCTACTTGGTGCGGCGATGGAGCGAGAGATATCGACCACTCAGGCTGGCAGAAGCCTTCTCCGATCGGTGTGGATGGCGATTGGTGTGGATGTTGTGCACTCAATTTCTGGGATATCACCATCCATCAATGCTATAGTGTCGCGAGACTGGGACGCCGGATCGACGAGCAGTTCTACCAGTCCTCGGAGCTCACGCTTCTGTGCTATCGCGAAAACTGTCCTTGAATCTCGTTCGGATAACCCTCCCGGCCAGGTTTGCATGCCTCCCGCGCTGACGCATCTGAGCGTGTGAGGGTCGGATTTGACGGTAAGTCTAGCGCTCACATCCGTGATTCGGAATCTAGGTCCTCGCATTGTCTCGTCGCTGGTAGCGTTCAGGGCAGAACGGTTTCTGCCTCCAACGGATGTCGCAAAATGACCATTGCCAGGGCCGGCTGTAATGCTTGCAGGGTGGATATCACTACTAGATCGATCTCTGAGGTCACTCCGGATACTACTTTGGGCCCTCATGCAATGAGAGTCGTGATATAGGCGTGGTCACACGAGCTTACATGCAGACAGGTCTTTATTACCAATCCCCACCCTCTCCCCAGCAGCAGATCACGCTAGTAAGTCAATGGAGTGCCTTTCCCAGCAGCTGCCACTTCCCAGCGGCCCGTTCGAGTCGACGAGTGAAGCACATGCATGGCATCCGCTCCGACTGCGGCGTACTAGCCAGCCCACGCAGAGCAGAAGCTGCCTAGCGTCTCACTGGTGACGACTCACATCGCCAACTAGACACTCCCTTGACTCGGAGAGCGTCGTGTGCAGGGGTGGTGCGCGTCTTACCAAGCGCCCAGTATCTGTGGCAGCTTTCGGCCATGATTCAGCAGCACATAGTTGCTGCGAAAAGCGAGTGTCGTCATCAGCTGTCTATGAGCCAGACGAAGGCCACGTCCTTACAAGAGAAGGTTGACATCCCCAAACTCCTGCAGCAGCTCGACGCGGCTCGAGGACCGTCTCGCACACAGCTGCTCGCCGGTCACTTACACTGGGGTAGGTCTGATAGCGATCGAGGCTTTCTCCCCGGTTAGGTATATCTGGATTGACCTCCTACTGGACGCCTCTCTAAAAGAAGTTCTTTACCGGCCAACCTGTTGGGCGGTTGATGCGTCTACGACGTGATCTATGTACGGTGCTCTCCTATTTGTTGAAGCGCAGCAGCAATTTGTGAATGCCACGACAGCATGAACGTGAGTTCGAGGGGGGGGGAGAGGAGGGTTCCGAGTCCCCCAGGAAAGTCGGTAGGATGCTTCGCCCTTCTACAAGCGCTCGACGCGAGTTCACCGAGCCGCGGGATAGGAAGGACTCTGGAGTGGACTCGGCGGGGTGCTGTTCTGTTGTTGCGCTAAGTATAGTACCCTTAGTAAGGCCCCGACTATTGGTTTTGGCAGCAATCACACCCCGCTCCCTTGTCATCGACGAAGTTTCCGGTCTATTGAGGCTATGAAGGCCCGGGCCGCCAGTGCCAAGTTCCAACATGTACTACTTATGTGTGGTACGCACTGCCATTTGCAACACCCAACCCCCTCGACTGTCTGCTCTGGCCAAACGCGTGCCCGACGTACTCGCTCGTTCAATGCAGTTGCCATGTTTTATTAATAAAAGGGGACCATATTGAACAACTTACTACAGGGAACTGACGGCCAAATGGACGCACACGGTCAAATGGGCACCTGCTTTTTCTGGCAAACAGACGTCTGCTTAGCGCCCAATGCGTCCACTATCTAATCACGCGTGAGTCAGGCAGGGCGAAAGGGGAATGACATTGTCAAGGCGCAGCGCCAGACGAGGCATCCGACTTGCGTCGCCACCGCTCTCTCGCGCGACCGGGAGGGGCCGAGCTCAAGCCGGCGGAGGCGAATACACTGACTGGGACAAGAACTATCTAGCAACTAGCGTGATGTATAGTATGTATAAACTGTAGGGATAGCGGATGGGTGGGTAAGAAAAAACACGAAGCCCGAAGTCGGGGACTTTCGAGCACGCCGGTGAGGAAGGAGGTGAGGAGAGAGAAGCATCAGGGATCTGTACATATATACACTATCAGAGAAACAAAGACCTTGTCCCGCGCTGCAAAATGCGTTGAGCGTGACAAAGGCTTTGTATGACGGTGAAGAGAAAAACACGTTGTGGGCGCACGTGCTCCCCACGCAACTTAGACCCCAGTCAATCCCAGTGAGAACGTGCCGGATTCAGGTCGATATGCGTTGATTTTGATCGTATATAGTCAGGCAACCCGAAATCACACGAACACTTGCCATATTTACGACTGTTTTCGTAATGAGTTGTATAGCGCCGTGCAAACCCCCAATATAATACTAATCCTGTCGATTTGGGTTGATGGGGATTGTCAGCAATTGATTGTGCTCGAGAAATTTCGGGCTGGGTAGTTTCAGGTCGTCTTGATGCAGAGCACGCCATTGGTTGATATTTGTGAATATCTGTATTCATTCGTATAGACTTGTATGACTATGTGATACAATATAGCTACAATTGCACACAGTTGCGGTCAGGTCTCGCTATACGTACCGAGCGTAAGTGCACTATTTCACTGATGCGCTGTAGAGGGGTAGAGACAATGGGACAATTCTTTAAGCATCAGGGGAGGAGTCGAGAGTTAGAGAAGGACAGTATGAGAATGTTGCACAGTGCATGTATGCAATCGTAAGATACATTACTGTTTGTCCCCTCAAGTGACTGCGTGCGCCAGGTCGAACTTGAGAGGATGCGCTGGGAAGGTGAGTGCCGCCTCCATACCAGTAGCAATTTGGGTAACCACATACCTCCAAAAATGTTCGACATACATAACATGTTACTCACCTAGGGTGGTGTTGCGATGGCAACACCATGCACGACAACTTACCTTGTGCTCATACTCTAGACCACAAGACACACCTTTATAACTCTCTCCAACCCCAACGTGCCTTCGTGACACCATTGCATAGTGTCTGCGCTGCATTTTCACCAAGGGAGAACCGGCTGTTGGTCGAGCAGAAAGAAGAGAGGTTGGAGAATAGGCAGAGGCCAGTGTCCAGAAGTGCAGAAAGCACTGGGTTCGAGACCATCCCCGGGAATTAGCCTTTCCGCTTACCGCTAGGGGGTTTGAGTGGGTATGGCCGATTGGTTCGCGCCGGAGGAGTCCCACACTATTTCCAGAGCACGGCTGCACCCGAGGCTCTGGGAATGTGTGTAAACGCATTTCCTCCTCGGGTTGGTGCTCAAATCTGCGGGGTTTAAACCCCCTGCAACATAGCTGATTCGGGGGAATTTCACCTGATTTGGTCATTAGCGTTGCCTAGTACGTCTACCAGACATGCCTCCACCGTAGACAAGGCAATAAAAAGCGCTCAACCTGAGAATAGGCAGAGGACGGCGGTAATCAGTGCAAGCAGCAACTCCACCACAATGATGTCACCATGTTTAGGGCAGGTTCCTACTGCCAGAGAACAGAGACTTCGTGTCTCCGGACCTTGCAGTACTTAAAACAATCACAGTAGAAATGTTTGGGAGGAGGTGGCATCCATGAGATGGTCCCATAGTGGGTGAAACCGTGGGAGAAGGCTGCGGATGCCTGGCTCAATTGTCTGATGGGAGCAGGCACAGAGAGGAGGCAGAAGCCTTACACGGCAGAGAGAGGTCGGACTCGCACGCAATACTAGAGACAGACACAAGCTAGGCTAAGGCCTTACGGAGCCACAAGCTAAGGCATTACGTAGCTACAGCTAGAGAGATACTAGCATGCATAGACATCATGCCCTTAGAGACATGTACGTCCGATCTCGCGACCATATGGCTAACACAGACGTCAAATGGGCGCTAAACACCGCCCATCCGACCTGAATCGACATAGCACGAGTATGTACAGCCAGATACGATCTCACACGCCCCAAATCGACCTGAATCCGGCACGTTCTCACTGGGACTAGTCAATACTCATTCCCAGTGAGAACTTACATGGGCTCAGCTGTATAGGGTCGAATATTTCCGTAGATGTTCGGGAACCCCGACTGTATCCGCCAACTCGGACTGGTCCCTGCTTTCACTGTATGTGGTTGTATTTCATTGTTTTCGTTCACGACAGTATACATGACCCGTCAGATCAGTTCGAGCATGGTCGATTTCAATCGGGCGTGTTTGGTTAGGCATGTATGCACTTGATGCCCGTCTTTCCACGTCATCCGAATTATACTGTATATTATAGTATGAGATCGTATTGCTACACATCGTAATACAACTATAATCGAGTGCTTTAATACAGAGGGACAAAGCTGGAAGCGGTGGGATGGGAATGAATACAGTGGCGATCAGCGCTCGATATAGCACCTGCGGCCGCACCGGAGGAGCCGCGGGGGCCACATCGAAGCCCCTATACTGTGGCGAGGTTGACGCTTCCGACGTTCAACTTGAACACACCCAAGTTCAATACTTCCGAAGATGGGTCCATCAGTAGGGCTCGGCAAAGGGGGTGCTCCACACGTACCATCTATGAAGTAGCAAATGTCTGAGTTTCTGCATCGAGATGATGATCAGCCAGGCACAGGAATAGAGTTAGGGCGACCTACCCTGCGAGCCAAGGCACTTAGGGTCTTGTAGGTGCCTCGAAGGACTCCAATGTGTCATTGGCAT